GCCACACCACCCAGTGCCACACCACTGAGAGCCACACCACCCAGTGCCACACCACCCAGTGCCACACCACCCAGTGCCACACCACCCAGTGCCACACCACCCAGTGCCACACCACCCAGTGCCACACCACCCAGTGCCACACCACCCAGTGCCACACCACCCAGTGCCACACCACCCAGTGCCACACCACCCAGTGCCACACCACCCAGTGCCACACCACCCAGTGCCACACCACCCAGTGCCACACCACCCAGTGCCACACCACCCAGTGCCACACCACCCAGTGCCACACCACCCAGTGCCACACCACCCAGTGCCACACCACCCAGTGCCACACCACCCAGTGCCACACCACCCAGTGCCACACCACCCAGTGCCACACCACCCAGTGCCACACCACCCAGTGCCACACCACCCAGTGCCACACCACCCAGTGCCACACCACCCAGTGCCACACCACCCAGTGCCACACCACCCAGTGCCACACCACCCAGTGCCACACCACCCAGTGCCACACCACCCAGTGCCACACCACCCAGTGCCACACCACCCAGTGCCACACCACCCAGTGCCACACCACCCAGTGCCACACCACCCAGTGCCACACCACCCAGTGCCACACCACCCAGTGCCACACCACCCAGTGCCACACCACCCAGTGCCACACCACCCAGTGCCACACCACCCAGTGCCACACCACCCAGTGCCACACCACCCAGTGCCACACCACCCAGTGCCACACCGCCCAGTGCCACACCACCCAGTGCCACACCACCCAGTGTCACACCACCCAGTGCCACACTGCCCCGTGCCACCCGACTGAGGTCGAGAACTAAGTTACTCTATCACAGCCCTTGCTACAACTTACTGTATGAAGGGCTAAAGGAAAAAACTCCTGCCTGCATTTAGGCTTTCGTTTATCAATTTTGAAACATGTGAAAAGGTCTCTGGGCCCTGAACTGGGACGTGGGTTTCACGCCGGCACCTCGGCCGTGGTGTGCACGCGGGCAGTCAGTGCTCTCACCCCACTCTCCTCTGCGGTCAAACTCGGCAGTGGAGCGAGGTCGCCTCTCGCGAGTTCCCACCCGAAGGGTAACAAGAAACGTCAGACAAACCCTCGGTTTCCACCCACAGGGCCTGGGAGGCCGGGCTGTGTGGGCCTCGCCGACCTGGCGCATTAGTCTGTCCACATCACCCCGGCCGGACTGGAGGAGTCACTTGCTTCGCTGCCAGTTTTTAAAGGGCTTTTGTCGTTTGCTTTTTAAGTTACCTGGCTCTGAGTAGCGCACTCAATTTCCCGCGACCCTGGCTCCTGGCCATCCACTTGTAATCACAGGGGTTGGGGTCCCCATTGGGGCACCTGCTAACTGTGTGGCTGACC